TTGAGTTAGTAGTTCATTAACTTTCCTGTATGTTGCCTTTTTAGTGTCACTGCCAAACATAAGGGCGTTCGTTTTAATCTTCTTTTTTGAGTTAGGAGTTGAGTAACTTTCCTATATGTTGCGTTTTTAGTGTCACTGCCAAACATAGGGCGTTTGTTTTAATCTTCTTTTTGAGTTAAGAGGCAAGTAACTTTCCTATCTGTTGCTTTTTTAGTGTTACTGCCGAACAAAAGGGCGTTTGTTTTAATCCTATTGAAAACAATTATTTGTTATTGATTTTAATTAAATAAATTAAATTAAAAACATCAATAATTATTAATCTTTTAATATCGATTATTATTTATAAACTGAAGCTTTTGAATTTAATCGTTCATTTTCAATATAAATGATGAAGAATTTCACTTCCATCAATAAACTTAAAAAAATATCATCCCTCCCTCCGATTTCCCATGTTCAAAAAACCAGAAGTTATATTGCGATCTCATTCATTGGAAAACCCAAGCTCCGATTTTCGTGCTTGCAGTTTCAATGGACACTGAAGCAGGTTGGTTAATCTACTGAAACTCCTGTTTGGTTGCCGCGATTCCATTGGAAAGGAAAAGAAACCACGAGGAAAATCGGTTTCCTTATTCTTTTCCTATGGTCTTTCCTCTGCTGCTGGTTTCACTCATGCTGCTGCGATTGATTTCGATCAATGTAAAAAATTTCGTTTCTTTGACTTGCAGTGATCGAGTTCTTAGGCAACGTTCCATTGCTGCAGAGGCTACCGAGCTCGTTTTTGAGGAAAATTGCCCAAATCGTCGAAGTTAAGCACTATGGTAGTCTCTTTAAAAAAATAATAATAATAATAATTGAATTTGTTGATTCTATTTCCAATTCAAAATTGAAATTCATAGTGAATGGTTAAGAGTAAATTTTTGAGTAATGACTTTTTATAAAATTAATTAATTCATGTGCTGGTACTGCTTTCCAGAGAAAGGGAAGTATGTTGTTCGAGCGGGTGAAGTTGGGGATGGAATATATTTCATATGGGAAGGAGAGGTTAGTTTACTGTTCTTAGATGTTACTTTCAATGTTTATTTTTAACTGCTTCCATGTTTTGAATTTGGTGGAGTTAATTACATGATACAGTACTTTTAGCTGCCCAATTCATGGTCTACAGGCAGAGGTCTCTGGATCAGTTCATACTGAGGAAGTGAATCGTCTTGGATATCAGTTGAAACAATTTGATTACTTTGGTCATGGTGAGAAGTTTGTCTTCCCTTTTTCATGGACCATTTTGTTTGTTTCTTGTTTACTTTCATAAGTTTCATGTTTTTCTGCAATTCCGAGAGAACTGTAAACTTCTGCCAGATTTTTTAGATATTTTCCCTTAATATTACAGTAATCCACATCAATCAGTTAGTAGTTGAGTGCGCTGTCTCTTGACAGAATGCAGATGAATTAGATGCTGTTAACACTTATTTAACAGCCCTTCAAAATATGTTGTTTTCTATTGGTTAAAC